GAGAGGGGCGGGGCAGGGGGGGAAGAAGAGGGGAAGAGGGAGCAGAGTCTTAAGCAGACTCAGCGCTGAGCATGGAGCTCTTAGGCTCCATCCCACAACCCTGAGATCATGACCTGAGCTGAAACCAGGAGTTGGGCACTCAACCCACTGCGCAACCCAGGTGCCCCAAGAACATGCAACTCTTGATCTTGGGGTGGGAGTTCAAGCCCCAACATTGGGTGTGAAGTCTACTTAAAAAAAAAAGATGTTTTGGTTTTTCTTACCATTTTTCCCCCATTTCTTTATTTACTATGTCATTTTAGACATTATTTTTTACTCCTTTCTCTTTGTTTTTTATTGTGGTCCTCTGTTAGTGTTTGTTGGAATGCTTAAAGGTATCCCACATACCTCTGATAGCTTTGTTTATTTCTCTTCTTTCATTTTCTCCCTTTTCTTTGATTCTGCAATATTTATCAGTCTTGTTCAGGTTGACTTATTCTTTCTTCTGCCAGTTCAGATCTACTGTTGAGCCCCTGTTGTGAGTCACTGTTCTGGGTGAGTGCTCAAGTGGAGGTAGCCTCTGATCATCATGGCTGGGCCCCTCACAGCATGGGCCCCCTGCCCTATGAATGAACTTGGGCGAGGGCCATTGCAGTTCAAGGAGGAGGCAGTATTCTCAGCCTGTTGTGCTACTAGGATAGAGCTTCCATGGTTTGGGTTGGAGAAAGGGAGTCCTGAATTCTTGGCTGGCCACAGGAGGGAGGGAGTCCTATGGGTCCTTGGCTGCACCCACCTGGCGTGAAGTCTCCTTAAAGCTGAGGAAGCAAAGGAGTGAGTCCTGGTTCAGATGCCACAGACTCTTGCAGTTAGATTTTCCTCAATAAATGTTTCTTCGGAATATAAAAATTTATCAACTTAAACCATGTTTAAGTATGTAGTTCAGTGCTGATAAGCGTATTCACCTTGTATAACCAATCCCTAGAACTTTGTCATCTTGCAAAATTGAAACCACATGTTAAACACTACCTCCCACTCCCTGCCCATCATCTATCTTCTGTCTCTGAATTTGATTACTCTAGGTACCTCACATAGTGGACTCATAACAGTGTTTGTCCTTTTGTAATTGACTTACTTCACACAGCATGTCATCAAAGTATATCTCTATTATAGCATGTATTGGGGGGCCTAAGTGGCTCGGTTGGTTAATCGTCTGACTCTTGGTTTTGGCTCAGGTCATGATCTCAGCATCGTGAGATTGAGCCCCACTTGAGGCTCTGCACTGGGTGTGGAGCCTGCTTAAGATTCTCTCTCTCCCTCTCCTTCTGCCCCTTCCTCTGCCCCAAATAAAATAAAATAAAATAAATATATATAATATTATATATATATCAGAATTTCTTTTTTAAGGCTGAATAACATCACATTGTGTGTATATACCACATTTTGTTTATCCATTCATCTGCCGATGGACACATAAGTTGCTTCCACCTTTTGGCTATTGTGAACAATGCTGTTATGAACATGGGTGTACAAATTACTCTTTAAGACCATGCTGTCAGTTCTTTTGGGTATATACCCAGAAGTGGAATTGCTAGGTCATATAGTAATGCTGTCTTTAATTTTTTAAGGAGCTGCTTTACCATTTTCCAAAGCAGTTATACGTTTTACATTTCCACCAGCAATTCCCAAGGGTTTCAGTTTCTCCACATCTTTGTGAAACCTTTTTTTTTTCTATTTTTTTTTCTAACAGACATCCTAAAGGATGTGAAATGGTATCCCGTGGTTTTCATTTGAATTTTCCAAAGGATTCGTGATTTTGAGCATCCTTTCATGTGTTTGTTGTCCATTTGTTTATCTTCAGCGAATTTTCTGTTTAAAGCTTTTTTAAAATCTCTGTTTCAGCTCAAATTTCTTTTATCCAAGATATTGGAAGGCTTCCTCTGAAACGACACTTTGGAAGGTAAGCTGATTGTTTTAATTTTCAAAACCTGTTTCAAGACCTGTTACTGAAACGTCCACTGAATGTTACCTCATTTATTCAGTATACAGCCAGTAAAATTTATCTGTAAAATCCAAGAGATACATATAATTCCCAGTGATTAATGGTCATATGATTGCATTGTAGATCCACCATTTTATTACATATAACAGTATATTTTCACTAGCTCACATATGGAATCATAAAAGCAAGGGGATTTTTAAAATCCTCCATTTAGCAAATCTTGCCTATGTGAAAACCCCTTTTCACCTTTCCTGCCCAGAGGTGTTCTAACCTGTGTTTAAAGGCTGCAGTGACCAGGAACTACCACAAAAGCACTCTTTTTTTTTTTTGTAAACTTCCTTCTCTTAGAAGATTCAGACAAATTTTAAAAAATGTAGTTTTTTTAGATATAGAGAGGTAAATCATTATCTGTGCTGTTCCTTTTATTGCAAAATCACTTCTGGGCTAATATCAGTGATTAACACAACACCTGTATTTCATTTCTACTTTACTTATTTGTAAGGTCAAATTATGTACCTGGCATTTTATTTAAAAAGGCTTTTTAACTGTTGTTATTGGTTCAACTACCTGATCTAACTTGGGAGACAGGATTTGTCAGTGCTACTTATTGCAGTCACTCATGATGACCATGTTTAGGGATGCCTGGCTGGCACAGTCGAGACAGAGCATGAGACTCTTGATCTCAAGGTCATAAGTTCGAGTCCCACACTGGGTGTAGAGCTTATTTAAATCAATAATCATGATGACCATATTTAACATTATCATTGATTCATGTTGACAATACTAAATATTAATATTCAGCTTGATAGTTAATATTCAGTAGTTCTCTAGTTTCCTGTAATACAGCCTATACCTTATTTTTGTATATTTAGCTTATTTCCAACTTTATCACAGTTTTCCTCATAGCTTTAATCATTGTGAACATCAAATGCTATTTACATAGGATGTATTCCGAAAAACTTGCAGAATCAATGGGTATACACTTTTCTGAAGCCTTTCCTCTATATTGCCAGATTACTTCCAGGAATATTTTGCCAATTTTATGTCCACTTACAGTGTATCAGTATATTCTTTTCTCTAGCTCTTGACACTGGTTTTATTAAAATCTTTTTAAAAGGTCTTGGGCACCTGGCTGGCTCAGTCAGAAGAGCATGCGACTCTTGATCTCAGGGCTGTGTGTTTGAGCCCCACGTTGGCTGTAGAGATTACTTAAATAAATAAAACTTTAATAACTAAATAAATAAAAGGTCTTTGCCAGTTTTAAAGATGATGGTAGTGGTTCATTATTTTAATTTCAATTTTTAAAATTACTAATTAGGTTGAACAATTTAGTTACCATTTGTATTTTTTATGTAAATTGTCCATGTTTTATGCCCATTTTTCTTTTTTTTTTTAAGAGAGAGAGAGTGCATGCATGTGCTCTCACAAGGTGAGGGAGGGGCAGAGGACTAGGAAGAGAGAAAATATAAGCAGGTTCCACTCTTATTGTGGAGCCTGATCTCACGATCCTGAGATCATGACCTGAGCCAAAATCAGGAGCCTGACGCTTAATCAGCTGAGCCACCCAGGTGCCCTACCCATTTTTCTTTTCTATTTAATTTTTCTTTTAATTTGTAAGAACTCTTTAGCAAAGACATTAATTAAGTCATTTGTATTGTAAGTTGTAATGATTTTTTCACATTTTATCATTTACCTTGTACTTTTGTTTATATCATTAAATAAACCAAAGGGCTTGGCTAAACAGTGAGCACGTCAAGGTAAGTGAAGAGATGGCTTCATAATTCTCACACGCATGGTATAACTTAAAGGTATCCGTCTTTTTGGTTATTATTGATGCCTGCATTATGAATCTGGCAGGTTGAAAATGGAAGCCCTGACGGACAGGGAACCTGGATTGATAGACCCCGACAGTGGAGATGAAGCCCTGCTTAATGGAGGGCAGCCTGCAGAGGAAGCTCTGGGTGAACCCACACAAACCAACGAACCTGAAACTTGCTGTCTGCCTTTGAGTCAAAATAGTGGGAGTGAGCTGCCTGCCAGCCAGCCTCAGCCCTTTTCCGCACAAGGAGACATGGAGGAAGAAGAGCTGGTAATAGAAGACTATGAGAGCGATGGGACCTAGAAACCAGCCTGCCGGTCATGTTGTTGCTTGGCAGGTTCATGTACATTTTATTCAGTGGTATCTGAACAGAGATAATATACTTTTCAAGTGAATGACAGTTTAATTCTTCACTCTTGTAGCACAAGAACCTGATTTCTCTGTCATTTTGAAGTAAACAGATCAAGCTTCAAATAATATCTTAATTTTTTTCTCTAGTATTTATTTAGTCTTGTGAGTTGTGTTGGGAGAGGAGGTCAGTGTGAATGAAGAGTGAACATTATGCCAAATATCAAAGAATGTGAAGGAATAATTCAGAATACTAAAACTTTATGGGGTTGTAAATACGAATTATGAAACAGTTTAGTATACAATTATGAGTGTAAATAAACTTTGTGCCTTATCCACAGTTTCTCTATGGTCTCTAACTTCTCAAATACCATTTTTATATGCTGTACAGTGGACTATTTTAGATGCTTTTTGGAAAGTATTTAATTTATATCAAAATTAAAATGTTGAACTTCTTTTCGTTTCTTCTTTTACCATTTCCTAACATGTATTGTCGGCCAGGTATCATTGGGCATAGTACATGACTCTCCTTTATCCGTTGTTAACTTTTCAAAAATAGGGAAGAGAATGGCAACCTTGTGATGAGAACTCTCCGGCGGACTAATCACACCTCTTAATACCTTTCCTAGCTGTGTGCGCGCGCCGTGGCGCGGGCGGAGCTGGGCTTGTAACCGCCGCTCCGAGGTGCGGGGCGGGCTCCGACCCTCCCGGGCCGGGAGCGGGAGTCCGAGCCTGACAACGCCGGGCGGGGCAAACTTGGCTGGGCTCCGCCCCGGGAGCTGAGCCGGGTTTCAGTCCCGTGGGCGGCGTGTGCGCTCGTCCCCGCTACCGCGCAGGTGAGTGGGCCCGGGGCGGGGGCGGGGGGGCACGTGAGGCGGCGGTGGACGGGGAGGGCCCCGGCGGCCCCCCGGCAGGTGCGCGGGTTCGGAAGCGGGGCCCCATGCGCCGCAGGGCGCGCCCCGGCCCGCGGCGCTCGCCACTCAGCCCCGCCATAACCTGCGGCCGAGGCCGGACCGCGGCGCGCGAAGAGGTGAGGGCCCCGGGGAGAGCGGGGCCTGCGCGTCAGGAGAGCCGCTCAGCCAGCCCGCTTTCACCCAGGGGCCACAGGTGCGCGGTGAAGCGCGCCCGGCCCGCCGCCCTTCCCCGGCGCCGGGATCCTCTGAGCCCGACCTGCGCATGGACCTAGTTCCGGCCGCTTTGGGGCGTCATCTCGACGGACCGAGAGTGGGTTTTCTGTGGGGCGCGCAGACCGAGTGCTCCCTGGGGTGGGCAGACGCGATGATTGAGAGAGATGGGTGGGACCGGACGCCGAGCGGCGTGCTCGGGAGCGACCCCAGCGCAGATGGTCGGTGTCCCTTGTCACTCACGCGTGGGTTCAGTTAAAACCCTCGGGGCTTTCCCTGCTCCCAAGGAGCCCGGAAACATCTCGTGGGCCCAGCAAAACTTTAAAGCGAGGCTTCTGTTTTTGTAAAGGCGACAGAGAAAGGTTCCCGTGTCACTTTCTTGGGGGAAACCATTTATCCTCCCACGCTGTGGCTTTCAGAGCTGTGTGTTCCTACAGAATGGACCCAGAGTCCCGGGGCTTGTCCAAAACAAAGACCCCACTGTGCCTCAGCGTGCTGAATCCAAGAGGGCTCTCAGTGACACCCTCAAAGATACACGAGGGGTACCAGATAACGACGATGTCGTCAAATACCGCTCACCATTCCCTTCTAAAATCACGTATTTTGTTATTCCGTGATTCTCCACATCTGTTTTTTTTGCTTATTTAAAAATTCTTAGTATGTAAACATTGATAAGGTGTTCTAATTCAAATGAGCCACTTTACACAGGTGAAGATAAAGTAAATCCATTACAGTGAAGCACACTTTTTTTTTTTTACCAGTATGTTAAGCAACGGGATATTGAGTTACATAAAACTTGCTGAAGTTATTTATGTGCTTTTTTTTTCTACTTTTCTTAGGAAAGTGTATTTCAAAACTGTAGTCGTACTGTGCATTTCTAGAATTTAAATGTTTTTAGACACGGGGCGCCTGCGTGGCTCAGTTGGTTAAGCCTCTGCCTTCACTTCCGGTCATGATCCCAGGGTCCTGGGATTGAGGGAACCTGCTTCTGCCTCTCCCTCGGCTTTCGGCTTCCCTTACGTGTTCTCTCTCTGTCTCTCTGTCAAGTAAATTTAAATAAAGTCTTTTAAAAAGTAAAATAAAATGTTTTTAGATGCAGATGAGATAAATGACCGAGACAAAAATAACTGCTTATTGCTATCATTTATAGAGCTCCTACTTTGCACTGGGCACCATGCTGGAACTAGCACAGTAATTGTCTAAAATTGGGTTACCCCATTAGAAGACCCAGAAATTTAGAACTCTCCATTTTCACCCATTCCGTGGGTGACAGGATCTACTCTATGGTAGTACCTACCCTTCTGTATGTACATTTCCGCCTGGAGGTCTCCACCTGGATTTCTAATGGGTATCTCAAACTCTTCAGGCTGCTTGTCCCAGGGCCTCTCCAGTTTGGAGGGGTGGAGAAATGTTGCATATGAAATTATTGGATGTCTGAGATTTGCTTCAAAGCAATCTATTGGCAGAAGGAATAGGTAGGAGGGATAGATGAAACAGGATGGTCATAAATTGATAATTATTGAAGTTGGTTGATGGGTGCATAGGGTTCATGATACTATTCTTTTCACTTTTTATTATGTTTGCAATTTTCTATAATAAAAATTTTTAATTCCCTGTATTAAAAAATGTGACTTCTTTCTATCTTCATTGCTACCACCATGGTCCACTGGATTCAGTCCGTGGCCTCTTGTCTCCCTTGTCTCCTGGAGTGTACTCTCAACATAGCATCCAGAGTGATCCCATTAAAACACGTCAGATCCCGTCAGTGCTCTACTCAGAATGCTCCCTTGTCTTCTCATCTCATTCCCAGTAAAAGCCAAAATCCTTTCCAGTGGTTTTCAAGGCCCTCCCTAATGATTCAGATGGACTAAATTCTGCTGCTTACCCCCTCACTCACTCTGCTGCTGCCCCACTGGCCTCCATGACTTAATAGTTCTTGAACTTGCCAGGCACTCCTGCCTCAAGGCTTTTGACTAGCTGTTCCATCTGCCTGGACCACTTTCCCTGATAGCTGTCTGACTTCCTCCTTCACCCCCTTCATTTCTATATTCAGATGTCACATTCTCTGTGAAGACTTCCCAGTCATTCTATTTAAAATTGTAACACCTGACCAGCAAAGTGCTCCTTATCACCATTCTTAACTTTGTTCCTTAGCATCTGATGTATTTCACTTCCCTTATCTGTCATCTCTAATCCCCCCACTGAGACTTAAGTTCCATGAGCGCAGGGATTTCGGTTGCTTTTGTTCACTGATAACACTTTTAGCATACCTGGTGCATGGCAGATGTTTGGTAAATTTGTTGAACGATAGGTCTCCATTTTACAAAATGAAATAAAACAAAGCCTTGGGGGGGGGGCACTTGGGTGGCTCAGTCAGTTAAGCATCCGGCTCAGGTTATGATCTCAGGTCATGAGATTGAGCCCCACATTAGGCTCCCCACTGGGTGTGGAGCCTGCTTAAGATTCTCTCTCTTCCTCTGCTCTCTCTCTCTCTCTCTCAACTAAAACAAAAAAACAAAGCCTGAGGAGTTTCTAAATGGTTCAACACCACAAAGGTGGGATTCTCCATTTAAACTTAGAGACCTTCATAGTGCCAAGTACATGCTGTATGCCCAGTGAGTTTTCAGTAAGTACTCACTTATAAGCAATATGAGGGAGAAATTTATTGTGCCTGTTTAAGTTACATTAGTGAGTAGTGTCCTTTTTGTATACATGTCCAGGATCACTGATTTTGTGAAGGAAATTAACAGGTTTAGTGAAAGTGCTTTTTCTCTGCCTTATTTTTTAGGTGGATCAAATCCCCTCTGAGATACTGAGTGTTGTTACGGCAACAGCAAATCGCCTTTAGGTGGCCACTCTGAGAAGAGTGCTACACATGACACACACAGTTGCTCTGTGTTGTACTTTTGGGGAATCTTAACCTTCAGTGATTTTTTTTCTCTCAGAATTCAATTTTTTTTTTTTTAAGATTTTATTTATTTATTTGACAGAGAGAGACACAGCGAGAGAGGGAACACAAGCGGGGGAGTGGGAGAGGGAGAAGCAGGCTTCCCGCTGAGCAGGGAGCCCGATGCGGGGCTCGATCCCAGGACCCTGAGATCATGACCTGAGCCGAAGGCAGACACTTAACGACTGAGCCACCCAGGTGCCCCGAGAATTCAATTTTTTTAAAGAGAAATGCATTTCCTTTTTTTTTTTTAAGATTTCATTTATTCATTTGAGACACACAGAGCGAGAGAGAGAGAACATGAGCAGGGGGAGAAGCAGAGGGAGAGGGAGAAGCAGGCTTCCCACCGAGCAGGGAGCCCGATGCGGGGCTCGATCCCAGCACCCTGGGATCACGACCTGAGCCGAAGGCAGACGCTTAACCATCTGAGCCCCCCAGGCGCCGTGAGAATTCAATTTTTAAAATCGAGTATCAAGTATTAATATTTTAGAGTGGAAGAAGCAACTCCCCTAAACTGACTTCCCTGATTTGAGAAAGAAAGGGGCTCTTCAATCCCTGTATTTAACAGACTGCTTCTCCCAAGCCATTCCAAAGGAGATTTGAGGTAATGAAAATGAAGAGTATTTGCTGGCTCATCAAACTTTGGTATGCTCAAACTATTAAATATTTTGATTTAGGTGTTTGAGGAAAGGATTCTACTTGGGATGTGTTAGTATCCTGTATGATTAAAATTTAGCTTCTTACGTGGTTTCTACACGTTTACTGCACTCATAGGTAAATTAGACTTACAAATGTTTTAATTCAGAACTAAGATTTTAATTTTGATTGCCCTTAAAAATCATATAGAATGATGATGTTATCCCTGGCTATTATGTTGTACATGTTTAAAATATTTATATTATGATTTTTACATATCATGATAATTAGACCTGACCATAATTGGTTTCCTAAATACAATCATCTACCATTAAGTGAATAAAATCCCAGCATCATTGAAAGAATAAATAACTAGGCATAAGTGATAACTTTAATCTTGGCCACAGGTGTAAAAGTCACAAATGTCGTCAAATGATGGAAGATCCAGGAATCGGGACAGGCACTATGATGAAGTCCCAAGGGACTCACCCTATCAAGATGGCACCATAGGAACCCTCCAGACTCTTCGTGACAGTGAGCTGGCCGTGAGCGCTGATCCCTTGCCACCACCCCCTCTCCCATTACAGCCACCATTCGGCCCAGACTTCTACTCAAGTGACACTGAGGAACCGGCCATAGCACCAGATCTCAAACCCGTAAGGCGCTTTGTCCCTGAGTCCTGGAAGAACTTCTTCAGAGGGAAGAAAAAGGACCCAGGATGGGATAAGCCGGTGTCTGACATCAGATA